TGGAAAAAAAAAAAGGAGGAAGGAAACCCCAAGGTTGGGTAGGGGGGGGTTGGTTTTGGGCTCCCCCCCCGGCTTGGGGCCCTAAAAAATTTGGAATAAACCCGAAAAAACCTTTTTCCCCCTTGGGGGCACACTTGGCCCAAGCCCAAGGGGCTTCCCCCCTGGCCCGGGCCCAAACCCGGGGTTTTTTTACACCCACCCCCCCGGGCCATTTCCCCCCCCCCCCCCTTTTTGCCCTTTTGGGCCTTTTTTTCCAGGCGGGGAGTTTTTTGGAGGCCGGTGGGTTTTTTGGCTGTTCTCCCCAAAAAGGGGGCGGTACCCCCCATGGGTTTCCCCTTTCTAAAAAGGGCCAGGCCCATTTTTTTTTTAGGGGGGCCCAAGGGGCGGGGCAAAATTTTCCCCCCCCTTCCCCCCCCCCCCCCCCCCATGTTGTCGTTTTCGCAGATTCCGTGATTCTTGCCCTCCCCGTCGCGACCGGTATGGCCCCACCTGGACCAACTACTCGAACCAGGAGCCTTTGACCGCACCAGAGCATGCTGCCGCGAGCCTGCACCACCACAAACAACAAAACCTAAACGCGCATATCGCACACCAATCAACAAACGGAATACGCCCACACGTCTATCCACATCACCCTCCCATTGAGTGGCACGAAAAGAGCGGCTTGCCGCTACATGCCCTTCCGCTGTTGTTGTGGTCATAGCCCTGGAAAAATCACCCCCACCAGTCTTTGAATCGCCCCCCTCCCCCTTTACAATATGACTGTTGTTGTATAAACCCCATGTGTTGTGCTGTGTCACGTTCGGCGTAGTACCCCGGCTTTGAAACCACTTCGTGTATTCACGGTCGAAAAAAAAGAAAAACGGGACACATACATGCTGCCGTCGTCTTTGCTTTTCTCCCCACAGAGAGAACAAAATCAAGCAACCACGAAAGCCTCCACGCCCTGGCACCCATTACTTCTCGTCTGCCCAAGCAAGTGCCGTTCATTGACACATATACACATGGATAAAAGCTGCACGAGCTCTGTCATCGAGCACGCTCGACGAATCGAGGTGCGACTTGACGACCCTAAAAACGACGGCACTTGCCCACCCAACCCCCCCTGCGCACACCGTATATCCGAAATTTTCTGTCTAGAGTGAGGAGTATGATACTTTTTTTGTGTCTGGTGGGCCGGGAGAGTTGGTTCCGGTGGAACTTCATTTTTCGATAATTCTCTCCTGCCTTTGTCAGCTGAACGGCCCTTCCGCTACTATTCGGTACAAAAGTTCAGACGTATGCCACCCAACCAGAGCACAGAAACTCTGCCGTATAAATACCACCAACATCTCGCGGTGCGAAAAGAGGAACACACCGCCGCCGCCGCGCGCGCGCAAGCTCGCGCCCCTTCTCGGAGGAACCCACCAACCATCATACCGCGATTAAATCCGACAACCAAAACAATTCCGCGAGTTTTCACAACAATACCAAGAGCTCGATCCGGCGCCACCTTTCCTTTCAAATCGACAGAACGAAAGCACGTAGCAAAAAAGGAAAAAAAAATTCCAATTTTCACAACAGTGTTGAAGCTCCAACCGGCATGTTACATCGCCACCTGTCCTCTTCAAGAGTCGGATATGTAAATACCGCATATCTGTGCTCCTGGCGAGGAAAAACACAACAGTTTTTTCTAGCGGGCATCATCGACCCCTTCACGCGACCAGCCCAAGTGCCGCGAACTACTACCGACACCGAATTCCGCCGACTTGAGCACGCACGCGCAACACAAGCAGCAGCAGTCTCGGGTCTCAAAACATTATCCGTGTTGGAAAGAAGCGACATTTGCACCCCCACCACGCTCTCGACGACGTGCAGTCCACAACTGCAAAAGCATGGGAAAACATGAGTCCCCGTCACGCTGGTCAGCAAATAGGGTTTCCCATGGCCTCGACGGCGCTTGTGGGGGGCGCCGTGGATTGCACGTCTTGGGCACGAGCCCTGCCGTCGTCGGAGCCGGAGTTGGACGATGCTTCCACGGCGGTGACGCTCGGCTAATCACGAAAAAGACGACGGAAGCGGCGAGAGGAGGGGGGAAAGTAGACAGATCGCGAGGTTAAAAGATGCGGCAAGAACTGGAGAGGGCCAGGTTGAGCGTCGTTTTTCAGACGCGACAGAGAAACGACGGGCCTGGGCTGGCGGCAAGCCTCACCATTACCACCACCACAAAATCCGCCTGCTACGAACACAACAACTGCACGTAAGCTATCTACCTGGTGGACACAGGCAACAACAGAGGTAGCAGCAGCAACAAAAAACAACAGCAGCTACACAGTATCTAGTCACTTCACGAATATCCACAGCAACAGAGTAGCAGCGGCAGCGACACAACGCCCAGTGTACCAAACCAAGATTCAGAACAACAGAACCAGCCGCAGCAGCGACACCAACAACCTGGTCTACCTGCTGGAGAGCAGCCACTCCGCACGCGCCTCCGGGGACGAAGTCTCTGACCCTCTTGTCCCAAGGACACCCGTTCTCGATCGCCCATTGGACCACCTGCACGACGCCCGCACAATATAAAAAGGAAAGGGTTACCCACAGGGGAGAAATCGATACATATCCTGCTCGGGGAACCGTAGATATAAGGGTTGGTCATCATACAACACGATGAATCCATTGCTGTCTATCCCGGGCTGTCTGTGGAAGAGACCGATTGTTGTGTTTCGTAACAAAAATTGAAATCGTGTAAATGCTATTCCTGGTCTGTCTGTCGAAGAGACTAGTTTGTTGTGTTATGAAAGAAAAATGTAAAAAACAACGTGCCAACGTCGGGTATGTACCGGGGTCGGAATTTGGTCGTTCGGAATAAAGGCGGGCGGAGGTGTTCGGAGTCTTCGCAGGGCTGCTGCACCTCGTCACGTACCTAGCCCGTTGGCCAGCAATTCTTCCAGCAAAGGCACCCCATCCACATGTGGTCAAGGGTCCGAGGGGAAACTCAATTCACCTGAACGCTGCCTTCAGCAATTCTCAGAACAAGCAACGACAACCACCCTAGCAACTCGTGCCTAAACCAAACCACAGTCGCAGCAGGCAGGCAAAACGGACGCTAACAAGAGCAGCCAGGATATGCGCCTAAAGTAGACAGGAGAGGTCAGAACCCGTCCAGGCGGTCGTGCGTACAGTAGTACCCAGCACCCACCTCCATGTGGCCCTCTTCCGCCGCGAAGGCACACACGTCCTCGTCCCACGGGCAGCCCTTCGACCGACACCACTGGAGCACCTGTCGTTGTCGTCATCATTGTCGTTGTCGTTAACGTTGTTGATGTTGTTGTTGTTGTCGTTTTCCTCATCGTTGCTGTTGTTGATAGTTTGGTTGTGCGATCGATCGAGAGACAGAAACACAGCACAAGGCACCGAGACCTCCGAACACCGCCAAAAAAAAAAGGGTACACGAAACCGCCAAACGCCACCACAGCCCGAGGGGCACGGGCGAAAAACCTGCCCTTTCCTCCCGCGATTGAAACGCAAACACAAACAAACACACAACACCAAACTTCTCTGCGTAAACCCCTTTGTTCCACTTTGACGCCGAAACCAAATCGTCGAGGACACCATGTTCAAGGCAAAACCCAAAACCTCGGCATCGAAAACCTACCGCTACACAAAATTGCCGCCATAAAAACGAAAAACTAATAGATGCGGTTGTCACCACCATCCACCACCACACCGCCTCCCCCGCTGCCCACACATGGGAAGAGCCTTCGCGAGAAACAACGTTCCACCAGGAAGTAGAACAGAGGGGTGGTACGCAGACCCTATTCCCTAACCCTGACCCAACTTCCCCGATCGAACGTTTTTTGTAGCCGATTTGTTTAGCTTACACAATACGAAATACCCTGCGAAGGCCCCTACTGCTGTCGTGCATACCTCGAGGTGGCCTCCCTCCGCCGCCAGCTCGCACGTGTACTCGTTCCAGGGGCACCTGTTCTGCCAGCAGTACTTGACGACGTCCAGGTGCCCGCCCGATGCTGCGGAAGCGAACACTTCCTCGTCCCAGGGGATGTCGTTGGACCGCGCCCACTTGAGCATCTGCGTCCGACGGAGGCGAACGGAGAGAGATAAGGGGGAGTGGCGCTCAGAAGGCGTCCGACAACCAGGATCATCGTCTGCCTCACGTCGTCACCTCGTTGTTGTGAGGCTCATCCCTGCTGACACGTCAAATAGGTATACCGAAAGGTGATACAGGTAGACTGGCGCCAGAAACATGGGCACGAAAACGTACACTCGCAGACTTTCTAATGCTTTTAGCCGCACTGAGACCGACGAATTTTCATTGGTCAGCCCATTAGAAGCGCGGCCGGCGCCACGAACATCACACATGAATACAACAGCAGCTCGCATTGGCTCATGTACTCCTTGTCGGGAGCATTCACGGTGCACGGAAATCAAGTCACAGCTCACAAAGACCCGCCGTGCACACACAAAAACCCTACTAAATCAACAGACCGGACGAATTTTCACGGTTCAGCCCATCAGAGGCGCGTGGTCCTTCCCCCAAAGAAGCGAGCGACAAGAGCCAAGAGCACAAACGAACAACACGATCACAACCGAAAAAGAACTACAATACCACAGCAGTTGCGGAATAGGTCAGGAGAAGAACGTGAGCGTACAAAACAAGGGAGCGGCAAACAACCCCCGCGGCAGCACGCCAACCAAAACCCAACCCGTACGCGAAAAAACCTCCAGCCAACCTCGAGGTGTCCCGATCCGGCCGCAGTGATGCAGATCCTGGCGTCGAGGTGGCCGCCGTTGTCCTTGCACCACTTGAGGACCTCCAGGTGCCCCTGCTCCGCCGCGAAGCGGCACGCGTCCGCATCCCAGGGGGCCCCGTTCTCGCGCGCCCAGCGAAGGGTGTTGAGGTGGCCCTCGTAGATGGCCGAAGTACACGTTGTCTTGTCCCAAGGGCATCCCTGGTGCCAACATCAACGAGTACGGCAGCGGTTGGGAGGTTGCAAACGCGTTTTGGCTTAGGGGCTTCCGAGTCGCACGGCTTGTTTCATTCATGGGAAGCACCTCTCCACAGCGACGACAACAACTGATCTGCAGGGCTCCCGGCCGCCCCTCCGGTTGCTGCAGAAAGAAAGGGGACACCTGCGCGGACGGGAAAAAAGCCTTCCGAATCGGAGGGTAGCATCACGCCATCAGGAAAACCTCAAGGAGGAACTTCGGGCGCCAAGGGTAAGGGCTTCTCCGAGCAAACGCGGCAATCTGAAAAATTCAACCCTACCGGAAGCGAGATAATTCGCAACCAGATTGAATATATAGGAAAGTGTAGGTTTGGATCGCGTTCGGGGCCGGCTACTGCAATCCCTCTTTGCGCTCTCCACCATCGCACATGCACACAAGCATAGAAACGCACGCGCGCGTGTTAAAACCACCCCCCCCCCC